AGGGGAAAAAGAGAGTTGCACGACCATTCAATAGTATGACTGGATTGCTTACAAATGGAAATCTTAATGTCAAATCTCAAAAAATGTCAAATTCCAAAACCAAAAACGAGACCAAATTTTCCGAGATTTTATCAGTTATGAGAGTTGAACATCACAGAAGTCAACGTTACCATCCGTTAGTTTAGATTTTTTGAGTTACCTTTGAAACCTTTTTGCGTTATTTTCAACTTCCGGGTTTAAATTTGTCTTTGGGTCAACGTCACAGGATGTGATGTTTTTTTGGACTATAATACAGCGGTGACTCTGATCTCTGTTTCATAATTATTCATGAGACTGTGTGTCCTTATACCATGAGAAGATGCTTCATTTAATTCAAACAGTGAGATACAGTAAGTGAGAGATGCATTAATGGATCAAAAACAGGTGTTTGTTTTTGCTTAGTAAGAGTTTCTGCGTCGCACAAGTTCTTTTCAATAGATCCTGAGTCTTCAACACAAACACGATCCACACTGTGAGTGTAACCAGTCTTTACGACCCTTTAACCAATCAAACAGCTTATGAAAACGCAGCAAAATAATAAGTCTCAAACGTTATTAAAGAATAAGTCTCACATATATATTTTCAACGCAGAGAACAAATGTGACTGGTTGTGCATTTATTTGTGCATTAGATTATAGCTGTCACAGGGTGTGTGTATTTGTGTAATTTACATTGAGCTTACAAAACCATGTGCATGTTGTGTTGCTTGTATGGTAATTTGCAGCATGCATTTGTGGGAAGCTTTGATGCTTTTAATGAGAGTGAAATAAAACTGTCTGTCTCAAAAGTCAGTCTTCCCTCATCCCCCTTTGAAAAACAGCATTTTTTAAAAATGTGATGAGAACTGACTGCTGAAACGGGGTTTCGTGACCCTTTAAGGCATCGAGAGGTTTTGATAATGTGTAAATTTGCATGCTAGTTTGTGGTTTTGTTTATAGGCTCAAAAAATAAAGATAAAACTTAAATATATTTGATTTGCTTTGCGTGGCTTTCTGCTCCACATTTACTGACAGTGATGGGCAAGTTTTTTAAATCTGCTTGTTTATTCAGTTTACCCTAAAATGAAAATTGTGTCAATTTACTCATCTTCAAGTCATTCCAAACCTGTATGACTGTCTTTCTTCTGTGGAAAAACAAAAAAAAATGTTCCAAACAACAGACATTAAGACAAAACAAAACCAAATCAAAATATTAGACCAACTGACTTGCACCATTTAATATTCCATTCAGACAGGTTTGGAACAACATGAGGGTCAATCAATTTTGGGTGAACCACCTTTATTGGTGACATCACTTTAATTCAAATATTGAACTCTTCAAATTTATCACATAATTTCTACTAATGTAATAATGGTTTTATATGCTAAATATTTTCTTCCATAGATACTTTTTTCTCATTAAATAAATGACATACTGTATGTTCCACCGATATATTTTGCACTAAATAACTCGTTTTCTGACTAGAGTTATTGCACTTCATTAACTTAACTTTTTATATGGTTTCCTGGTGTGAGGGATTCCATCAAGAGGTCTTTGCAGTTACACCACATCCATTGAGATTGTGACTCTAAGTGCTCTTGTTGACAACCCACTCCTACTACAGCACATTCTACTCTCCGATGTTGTCGTAGCATCAGTGAGAAAAATGAATAAAATATGAAACACTCATAGTACATTTATTCGAGGCCTTTCCGTTTAAATTAGAAACTACTGTAATGGCCTTGGTCTTCTAAGAGCTTTCCATCAAAAGCAAACTTTCCAGGTGAGGCCTGAGGGTCACTCACAACCAACGTGTATCAGTTAAGCTAATGACTTAAATTATCAATTTAGTCACAGCGTGATAAATTAAATTATATTTAATATTTTTATTAGATCGACTGCCACTTTTTTTTAGCTAAGTATTGGCAAATGCCTGGAACGACCGTTAACGTCCCTCTCATCTCCTTCACGCTGCACGTTAATTTATGTGGTGAGAAATTTTTAAGGAAATAAAAGCGAGGCAAAAGAAATTAGGAGTGTCGTGGGAGGCAACTGGGATGTGAGCACATGATTTATGGCATTTTGCTCTTTAAGTTAAAGATGGCAGAGGCTGTTCCGTCAGCAAACAATTCAATCACTGAGCCCTTCAGTCCAGACCCTTTGCAGAAGTAATTACCAACCCACCCTGAAGCACACATCCATCTTAAGGCTTTAAAAAGCCACTCATTCTTCATTCATGGAAATCAGTGGCTGCTTCCTTCTCAGTCATATGGTCGGCGTCTAAAAATACCTAAGGGGTCATTTGCCATGCTTATTGCAATCAATAAGGATCCATCCCAACACAGACATTTTCTCCACTTTACTTTTTGGGTGCTACGGAGAGATATGCTCTTAGCAGTTTGAAAGTGCTCAGCTTGCCTGTTCAGTATCATTGGCAGTTCAGTTACGTAGCTGACAGAAGCCACTAATCAGATCATCTTACGGTATTTATTTACTTTCTATATTCTGGTAACACCCTTAACATGACATAAATGTATATGTATTCTTTTATTAAACCAAAACAAATGAATAAACCCAAACCTTTTTGCCAGCTGCGGAAAAGCAATAGACTGGAGCCATGTGCTGTTACTTTGCGGCACTGATAGGAACTGCAATGACCACACAACAAAACACCAATAATAACAATTTCTAACACAGAATCACCTCTCATTATAACACATCCTAATGTCTTGACAACTCCTCAACAATTGCCAAGGCAAAAGTCCACACCTTAAATGATAGCTATGACTCAGCTTAACTCCAATGCCATCATTAAAGAGGCTACATGCATTCTCCTGAAATTTAAACTCGCGACTGACACCTGTGGCCAAAAAGCAGAACTGCTTCCTTTCTGCTCACTCTCGCAGTGCGCGAACGGAATTTTTTCAAATGTAGCGCCGCTTGGATGCTTTGCAGAAAATACGTAACATGAACGCGCTTGACGTCACATCCGCAGACAGCACGGAAAAAGTCCAACCCGACAGAAAATAGGAAAAATAGGATACAGGCTTATAGGTGCACCCACTGTGAGCGGACAAGGTGTCAGTCAGTATGCTCATCAGGAGATGTTTGAGTCATAAATGGTAAAATAATTAGGCTATTGTTATGTTTATTTTGGGGAAAAAGCTGCATATAGCCTCTTTAAGACTAGCCTAAATAAATCAGTCCCAATCCCTATGTGCAAGAAACACTTCCCTATGCCCTATTCTTACTCTGCTTTCAGACAGCGTATTGAGCTCCCTACAGGAGTGTGTGATCTTTGGAAAATTTGTTTCTGAACACCTTTCTCTGTCCAGAGACCCCAGGGGAGAGAATGCTAAACATTGCTGTGTGGAAAGAGCTGTTTAGCATACAGCACTGTATCTACTATAATCACATCTCTCAGTATTGGACAACAACAACACCTACTTTCAACTTAAGCAGCCATATCAACCTGTAGCCCAAGACTGGTTCCCAACTGAAGTCAAGCAGGGTTGAGCCTGGTCAGTACCTGGATAGGAGACCTCCTGGGAAAACTAGGTTGCTGGAGGGGTCCTCACCTTCACCCAATCAAATTGATGATATATGCTGATTAAATTATCAAATTAATCATTTTGAAATTTGATGAAGAAAATCATTCAAATAAAAATATTTAAAAAGGTATTATTGAGGAAGATATGTAAAGCATGAAATAGATATTGCAAAAAAAACGTAATAGGATCATATGGGTCAAATGCAGAGGACAAAATATTAGGAAATATTACTACAGGCTGATAGAGGCAACCGTGGTGGACATTCAAGGTGTCGTTCTTTCTATTACATTATGGTTGGAAATGTACAAATGAAAACTCTATCTTAAAGATTTTTTAAGTAAAAATCTACACATTTAACTAAGATGAATAAATGCTGTAGAAGTGCAGTTCATTATTACTTCATGTTAACTAATGTAGTTAAGTGTTACCATTCTTTCTGATACTTTAAAATTGGGACTTTGGGAGAAGTTCAGAGTTACCTGAGTAATCCCAGATATTTATGAGGTCTGTAAAAGCATTAGTTATCCATTCAGCAAAAGGGAAGACAGCCTTTAAAAGGGGAATTGCCATTTGAATCCCCAAACGGCTGCTACTTTCCTCCCTGTTAAACATCAATAATCCAGTGGCTGATGTGTCTTTTAATACGTGTTGGTGTTCTAGAAGCTGTCAGACTCTATGTGGTGCTGCAGCTCTGATCAGAAACTCTGGGGTGGTGTGGTCTCCAGCAAAGATGAATATTTGATATTTCTCTTGATAAAAGGCCTAACAATTTAAATTATACAGTAGACAAGTTGCCTCAGAGCACGCCCAGGAACCATGGCATGTTGCATGAATTATTTACTTGTCATTTAACTCTTAAATGCCATATCTACTTACAGGGGAGCTGACCTTTGACCTCCCTGTGCTTCAGTGAGATTTGGAGGAGCTTGGTTATACATTAAGAAACAAAAAGATCTATGCAGCCTGCATGAACAGAATATGTTGCTGGTCCTGAACATCGTACTGGTGTCCCTATCATGTATTATATGTAGCTTAACTAGCAATTGGGCAGCTTGACAAAGAAGCTAGATCAGTACAAAATCAGCACTAACTGGCTTAAATGCTTCTAGGTCTAAGTTGGTCTTTTCAGCAGAGAGAATTTACATTTGTAAGGGACTCACAGCTGAAATGACTAATGCTTGAGTGTGAAAAAGCTTAATAGATGCCATTTAGATTTAAGTTAGGCGGAAAATGCAATGAGAAAGCAATGTTGTCATTTAAGCACCTAAAATGTACTCCAGTTCACACATTCATGCACAGACACACATTGTTCCACTTATATGTCTGTCTTGAAGCGATGCTTTTCTTCTACTGTGTCCAATTTCACAACTACTTTGTTTTAAGATTCCAATTCTCCATATAAAACAGTCATACAGAAGTGTGTGCCCTTACCCTGGCAGCAGGCGTTTGAAAAGGAACAGGTCGGGCAGGTGTTTTGTGGAGTGTTTCATGGCAGAATTGGGTCTCAGAGCACTGCAGATTTTTGGAATCCTGATTTAGAAACACAAGGTCAGAGTCCTCCGGCTCACAAATCTAAATTTGGGAGCATGTTTGGGTTCAAAAGATTGCTGAAAATTAGAATAGAGCTAGCACTAACGTACCCGAGGGCATATCCAGGAGAGAAAGACATGTGTTAAACCTTTGAGCTCTGATCTGTACGGCAACCTTTAGAGCCTCTGGCACTAAAAGCTAAAGTGCAAAGTGGGTTTGATGGGATAGGTGAAAGTAAATATATCCTGGCAATCATGTGAGAAACAGCATTTTTTTTATATACACGTGCTCTCTTCTTCCTGAACGTTATTTTGCAATAATGCGGATTAAAGGGGTGGTTGATTGCGATTTCACTTTTTTCATTTTAAATAGTGTGATGTTGCTGTTGGTGCATGAAAAGTATCTGCAAAGTTGCAGCGCTGAAAGTTCAAAGTAAGCAAAGATATCATCTTTTAAAAATCAGGAAGTTTAATGCCTACAAAAACTACTCGAATGGGACTACAAAGGGTTGAATAAATAATCATCCAGAATTACAGCCATTGTAACATTTGTAAGAAACCAAACGTTAAATCCGTCAAGATTACAACGAGATAAGAGTATTTGTGTTCGTGCTGATCACTCACCTAACATCAGATCCCACAGAGCCCCCCAGAAAGCCTGCCTGTGACAAGATGGCCGCCAGTGATGACGATAAAGACTCCGCGTGAGACATCTAGCCTTTATATGGATATCTATGGTTCAAATGACAGAGGAGAAAGTGGCTCACAATAAAGGTGAAATTTATGAAAAATAAGACTTTAAAAAAAAGAAAAACACGAATACATGTTATATTACACCCCATTAACACAGTCATGCAAAGAAAAAAAGCAGTAAACCACCCCTTTAAAGTTATTCTCGCAAACGCGCATTGTTACTCAGATGGTCACTCAACTTGATGGTTTCTTTCACTGTGAATTTAGTGTCAGAACAGGATAAAAGACAGTCGCAAAACAATGTTAATGAAACATCTCTTGATCCATTGAGTTTCTCCCACACCCCAGCCAGTTCTCATCCCAAGGGGTCATATACTGACGCTTTTGACATTTCGTCTACAACCAACGCACATGGCACCCTTTAGCGTCAATATGAGACGCAGATATATATGGGGCAGAAGGCGCCTCCTAGTGGTTTAACCCTAAACCTACCCCAGAACTAAACCTACCATAACCGAACAAAGCTCTGTGCGTGTTATATTGACGCTAAAGGGTGCCATGTGCGTTGGATTTACAGTAGATGAAATTTCAAAAGTGTCACTATATGACGCCCTAGGATGAGAACGCGTTGTCCAATTCACGAGCAACTACTTGCGTCAGTTTCTTTTTAGAGAATCAAAAACAATGCGTAGTCCATGATCCGTGACTTAATTATTTGTTTCTTTTTAGTGAACCAGAAAACTTTCTAATTGTTCACTGAATAAATGTTTACTGAATTTAAGATTAACCCTCACCCTGAGGGTTTTCAGAAAATGCTGGTTAACATAATGCATTGAACTAAAACCTACTCCCTTTACTCACCCAGGGTAACTACTTCCCACCCCCCAATTGATTTCCCACCCCCAATTTCTTAAAAAATGTGGTATTCCCAGTCAAAAACTACCGGTACAATTTATCACACTCGTGTACTTTAACAATCAGGAAGTTTGTTTTGAAATGCTTTTATCTTAAGGAAATATCTTAGGTATTAAATCCTTTATTTTTCACAGAGATGAACTTTATCCTCAGATCAATGAGGATAGACAAAACCAAGAATGGCCAAACATGTCTTATTGAAAGTATACAAGTTGATAAAATGATTGAATTCAATATTCTGTGATTATATAGCAATCAATTTACAGGCAATTTGTAAAAGGCTGGTCATTTTTGACCAGGAACACAGAAGGTGTTACAGGGTTTTCAACAGAGCACAAGGGTTAATACTGCATCGTAAAGTCCCTAAAAGTTTTGTTAAAAACACCCAATAACATAAAGCCAGCAATGATGCACAATACCCAAATATCTCCAAAGAGTGACAATTTTAGACAATGATCTTCTATTTTTGTTGTTTCATTGATATTTGATTAGACATTTCCCTGGCTGTGACTGAAATTAGGTCACCATATCAAAATACTTCTGATGCGAAAGGAAAGATAGTGTAATACGTTTACTTGAAAAAAAAAAAGTTAATGTAACTCCATATGCTAATGAAAAATAAAAACAAAAGCCCTGTGGCTGTATATGCTGAAAAGAAACAGTTGGGAAAAATAAATTCTACTTCACATCTGAGAATATTACATACAGTATAGATGGACTGAGCTTGGAACATGGAGAAATATTAGAAATAGCCTAAAAACTAGAGTACATTTTGTATAGATGCCAGACCACATGGCAAACTGCATTGACATTTTTATTAATTGCTATAGATGTTCCAGACTTTGTTTTAACTTGTCTGAAAATGACCAGGACAAATGACAAACTGACCGACATGAACTGAAATGAGATTAAAAAAAAAAAAAAACTGAAAAATGTACCATGATTAATAAGACTTTGTTCGGTTATAATTCCTCTCCGTCATCCTATACACTTATATACAAATATATAGTAATTCATCCTCTATGTTCAATTAATATGCCACACGTAGCGGTTTCTTAATAAATGATATTCCCCAGCAGAATAGGTTGAGTGAGCTTTAAGTTTTGGCCTAAAGCAGGGGACAACTCTGCTGATGATGCATGTTTGATGTTTTCTGCTAATTTGTAACAAATGTGTTCCGTGTTTTGCTTAAGCTCTCTCTCTCTCCTAAAGGGGTTCTGTCAGTAAACAGATTCATAAATTATAAGCATCATTAATATGATCGTTTCTCTCCACTGCAAATGTGCATCCCAATCTTTTCACAGAAGTCCACGCTGAGAACTTGTCAGCAATTTTGTTAGGCCCGAGTTTGATGGCATGCCTGCAGTGTGGCATGCTCAGAATGTCAAATATGTGATTGATTTTAAACGTTTTATAAGGGTTGATACATAATTATGCATTAAATTATGGGTGAGCTTTTCTATTCAATTTCACAACCTTTAACCTAAGTGTGAAAAATACACCCCCTCTTGGACACTTTAAATAATGTATGAACTCACATCCGTGGTGTGAGATATAGGCTTGTGTCTGTAGTTCTCTGCATTAAGTCCAGTTTAGGCATGATTGATGTCTTTATGGCTGTGGTAATTACCCAGCTGGTTAGAGTAATTAATGAGGCTGTGTATATCAGTTGGCCACCCCTGAATGCTGAGCGAGATTAGTTTAAGTATTCATTGGTCAGAGATCTGGGTGGGATCTATAGCGTTTCCTTCTAAGAACAGAAGAAGTTTGGGGTTTAACCTCGACCTTGGGGTTTTATACTGTGTTATGTATCCATTAGCATTGCCATGCTCTTTATTCTTTCTGAACATTTGTATTGAAATATTGTACATAAAATGGGTTGCTCTGCTATAAACTGCACTTACCCAACACTGTAGGAGTACTTCGCGCCATTTTTTCTGGTAAGTAACATTCCACTACTATTTCATGTAGTTAGCACTATTAAGCATACATTTTTGTGGGCAGCAGCACTGCAACAGTTAGCATTAAATCACCTCGCTTTTCTCTCTTATTAAAACCAATTATGTTTATCAGTGGTTGTATATCAAGCAGGGACATGTTTGTGTGCATTTCACTTTGTGATTTTACTGGAACGAATAGAGAGTCTCCGCAACGGATTAAAGCATGCGTCAGAGTTCAAAATTGGTGGGGACAATATCGACCCTGGCAAAAAGTGGTGGGGACAAGTCCCACCCGCAAATTACGCCTATATCGGTTATAACCGGTTATAACTGACATTTGAAACACTGAAAATGCGTCTGCCAAATGAATAAATGCAATATAAGCTGAGGCTGCTTGGCTGAAGAAGCACGTTTATCGGCTCAGTCTCACACAAAGCCCCGCCCTTTTACCCATATATGGATTGTCCAGAAAGTGGGCGGGGTTAGGATTTCTCAAGATTTTTTAAAAAGATGGCTCCGCCCATACCCCCATAAACGACCGCAAAACCGTTATTCAGAAAGTTGATGGGTGACGTCACAGACGCTATGTCCATGTTTTTTTACAGTCTATGGTTTATACCAAGTGAGCAATACCAATAAAATTGCATAAATACCAATACTGTATATAAAATATGTTATCATTCTTTAGAATTTGATTTGCCAATTAAATAATTACAGTGAGTCCTAAAAGGGTTGCAAAAAGGTTGATTATAACCGAGAATAATTCAATAAAACATCCTCTAAAATAACAAGTGAGACTTAGAAAGAGTCAGATGCCTATTCACGTAGCTGTTAATGCCAGTAGAGAAGATTCACAGTGGGATTCCTCTTAAGAAGGAGATAGCAGTTGTCAACAGAGGGAAAAATGTGCATTAACATTATTCAGTTAGATACAACGTTTTAACATAACAGGTTGCCTAAATAATTTCCAATGCAAGGAAATACTTTCCGAGTGCAAAGAAAAGAAAAGAAAAGAAAAATTCAAAAAGGAGAACCATCCTCTTCTGGCATTCCTGGTGGAATAAATAGACTATTCAGAGAACTGAGTCTCATTGTAGTTAGCAACAAAAAGAGGTCAGTTCTTACTCAGTTCAGTCCATTTGTCAGTAGTCCATTCTGTCCACTGAAAGGTGGGTATGGGGAAACTGATATCGAACCACAAAATTGCATGTCAAAGCAGGTCCTATTCACCTCACTCTGAAGGGGTTAGTGAGTTTAAGCTTTATTTAAGACCCAAAATTAACATTCTGTCATCATTTACTTGCCCTCCTTACAAACCATGACTTTCTTTCTCAGTGGAATACAAAGAAAAATCTTTTCATTCTATATAGTGGAAGCGTATAGTGACCAGTCAAGCTCCAAAGGACAAAAAGTGTAAAAAGTACCA